ATTAATGTTAATCTAGTTTATAAAATTGATGCATTTATAAAAGTTACTTAAGCTAATAACCAAAGTGAACTGTTGCCAGTCATTTTAGGTGTCACTATCAACTAAATAAAAAATCCATAGTACCACTACATTTGTAGTATAAAAAAACTCAACGTGGTAACATTGAAATAACATAATGGGAGGAATCAAATAGTTATTACTTTTTCCAGTTTTATTTTTTCTATTTATATTTGTTAAGGTTAATAAAATATGTGGTTGCTAAGCGATTCAGGTATCCATAGCGACCCAAAATTAAAACTAATGTCACCATTAAAACCGAAATCCTCAAATTAGTAAACAGTACAAAAATGATTCTTAAATCTTTTTTATATGAAGAGTTATTAGTTTTTTTTCGTTAGCATTTACAAGTTCATTATGAGCTTGAAAATAGTTTTTTTAATCATTTTTGTGTGTATACAGGTGGTTATTAACTACACGTCTTTGATTTTTTGGAATGTCTTCATAGTTAAATATAACACATGAAAGTAAATATAACACATAAAGATGTGTTATACTTATTTTCCTTACTGCATCAGTTAATGTATTAGTATCTCATTTTTGGGATTGCTTCTCAGAATTTCTTTCTTCCGAGTTAATCATTACTATTTATAATCAATTTAGTCATAATAAACCTCATATAATGAGCATTTTTATATGAAAATATTTTATTCTATTTTAAAGTAATGACTTTATAATATTATATATTTTATAGCCATTTTTTAAAGAAAAGTTTGTGATATAAATTTTAAACAAACTAGACCTCAATGAAAGTAAAATATTTAGATTGTAAAAGAGGTTTAAAAAGGAGATTAAAATGTTTAGGTTGTAAAAGCGATTCAAAAATTAGATTAAAATGTTTAGGTTGTAAAAGCGATTCAAAAATGAGATTAAAATGTTTTGGTTGTAAAAGCAATTCAAAAATGAGATTAAAATGTTTAGATTGTGATAGAGGTTTATAAAAATAGTTATAAAAGCTGTAATAATTTTTAAGCAGATTTATTTGTTTTTTTCGATTAAAAAATTTCTGAGTGTGTAACTATTGTTTTCAAAGCTATTCAAATTTCGAAACGCAATATTATTAAAGATCAACTTCTGCATTAAGTAATAGAAAATAAAGTTTTTTTTATCATGAAAAGTAATTTTTTTAAAGTAGTAAACAAATTCAAACACATTTTTAATTAGATTTCTTCATGATTTAACTATTTTTATTTTAAACGTGTTTTTTTGAGAAAATCATATAAAAAAGAATTTTTTTTTTTTTTATTGTAATTACTCTTTTATATGTTACTTATTTTTCAAACATTTTTGTTATAATAAATAGTATCAAAAAAAAATGCAAACTTAATATTTTTTTTTTTTTTTTTTTAATTTTAATTCACCTCCTCAAGGCCGAGAAGGCCACTACAGACGAGGAGGCTACTTATTTGTGGCTATAACCCTCTCTCAACTCTATAACTCCGAAACACGAACCTTGACGAACAAGGCCGCTGCGCGGAGAAACGAGTTAAGCGCGGTGCTACTAGGGACGTGGTTGGGATCGAACTCGAAACCACTCGTTTATGAAGCGAGCGCTCTACCACTACACCACTACCGCATAACACCATTAAGTTAAAATATTTAATTTTGAGAAAACTTTAGTTTAATTTGCAATTATTAAAAAAAGTTAATACAAAATTCCTTTTATATAATGCTACTAGATCATAAAAAAATTAGTGTTCATCAGTATTATAAAGATTTTTTATAAGATTTTTTTAAAACATTTTTTTCAATATTATAAAAATATATTATAAAGATTTTTTTTATAACAAATAATCAAAATTTTTAAATTTTTAAAATAAAAAAATTTTTAAAATAAAAAAATATAAAATATTAGTTTTGTCAATAATTTTTGTTGCAATTATCCTCGTTACTAGTGAATGTTTTATTGTTTATCATTTGTTTTTGCAAGAGGTTAGATTTGACAGATGAAAAATTACTTTGCAGACTACAAGTTTTTATAAAAGTTTGAAACAAATTGGTGTTAAAAATGATTTTTTGTGTTTAGTATTATTTGGTACTTAGTTCCTGGTTTAAATAATATATACAAATAGAATATTGCGATAATAATAGAATATTGCGATAATAATAGAATATTATTCAAATATTAAATCTAATATGGCATCTTTAGCAATCTCATTAATGTACATCAAAAGCATTTAAAAAAATACCTTCTATCTGTCATTTGAATAAGCCTCTCAGAAAGACCGCAGAATTTAAGAAATGTTACTACCTGCTGGCCTTGAAACCATCAAACTGAGTTTTAGAACTACAACTTGTTAGAAAAAAAAGATGCAATAGTCATTAGATAAGAGAAAGAAGCGCAATTGTCATTAGCGAATTGGCTCAGGAGAGACACATAGTTGCACATAGTACTTCCAGAGCCATAGTGTGTTTGTGTTTTATTTTCATTTATTTCTTTTAGGTGAATAATTAGTAGGGGTGTACCGGATTGAAAATTTTGAGTTCCAATTGGAACCGGTTTGACGGAATTGTTAAAAAGATTCCAGCTGAAATTCCAGCCAGAGCAAGGATTATATTTATGTAATTTTTACCATAAAGATTGATAGTGAAAGCCTGCAACTCAGCATTCTGGCTACATAATATATATTTATAACCTATAATATATTTATTTGTAACCCAAGCTTTCCTGGGAAGCAG